AGGAAATCAGGCTGGAAGGGATATCTGATTCATCTGTCCAGCCTTGGGCTGGATCCTCAAGGCCTCAGTCCAGCTGTGGGAATAGGTGGGCTCGGCACTAAATCCCACTCTGTGACCCAGTTCTTTTCCTGCAGCCCCAGCCACCCCTCCCAGATGTGCTTGTCTGGATGCTCAGTGGGCGGCGCCGTGTGGCCTGTGCTCGGATCCCTGCCCAGGATGTCCTGTTCTCTGTGGTCGAGGAGGAGCGGGGCCGAGACTGTGGGAAGATCCAGAGTCTGCTGCTCACAGTGAGGGGGACAGGGATTTGGGGGCTGGTGAGAAGTGGGGTGAGGCTTATCAGGCAGGGGAGGCCTATGGTTCTCAACCTGGGACCCCCAACTCTTTTCAATTGTTCAAAAAGCCAAAGGAGAATATGCCTTTGCCCAGGTTAGCTTTGAAATGAGATAAACACCCAATTCACTCAGTTCTGGCCGGCACTGGCCTTTGGCTGAGTAGGCTCTGACAGAGGGACAGGATGTGAAAAAGGGAGACGGTTTGATCAGTCCCTCACAAAGATAGCCAGCCTGCAGGAAAATATTTCTAAATGAGGTATCCCTGGAATACATACCAAAAGAGGCCCCTAGTGATGAGTAGCTGTGACCCTTGGGGTAAGGGACAGGAAATTTGAGTCTGTTGGGAATGAAAGGGAAAAAGGAGGGAGTATAGAGGTCAGAGTGCACTTGTGGGGTGCAGGGTCATGGGGTATAGGAAGAGACAGTGTCTGGGCAGATGTATAAGGGTAATGGGGCATAGGATGGAGGGCATGGAGGGGTGTGGGCTGGAGGCACTGAGGGTTTTCTCTGGATCAGGAGCTTGGTAAGGTTTAGCCACATGGAGTAGGAGTGTGCCTTGGGGGAGCAGAGTTGTGGGGTTCAGCTAGGGTAATAAGAGGAGGCTTCGGGGGCCCTTAACATGCCTCCTTCCTACACAGGCCCCCGGGGCAGCCCCTGGTGAGGTCTGTGCCAAGCTGGAGCTCTTCCTGTGGCTGGGTCTGGGCAAGCAAGCCAAGGCCTGCACCTCCGAGCTGCCTCTGGACCTGCTGCCTGAGCCCTCAGCTGGGCTGCCCCACAGCCTGTGCCGGGATGGTGAGTACTGCGGGTGGACAGAATGAACACAGGACCACCTTGCTATTTGCCATGGTGTGGTTCCCCTGAACAAACATGGCCTCTTCTTTCCCTGTCACCCCAGACTTTAGCTACTTCCAGCTCCGAGCTCACTTGTACCAGGCTCGGGGTGTGTTGGCAGCAGATGACAGTGGCCTCTCGGACCCCTTTGCCCGAGTCCTCATCTCTACCCAGTGCCAGACTACACGGGTGAGGGCTGGGATGGGATGTGGGCAGATGAGGGCTGGGAGGCAAGGTGGGTGGGGCTGAGCTTCCCCCAAGGCCCTAAGACTTTCCTGCCACCCTGATCTTCAGGATAGGATAGTGGATAGATCGCCCTGACATAGGCTTGGTGTTGAACCAGAGGTCTTAAGAGTGAGGAGTATTTTCTGGGGTTAATCTTAGGACAGGGCTCTGAGGGTGCCAATAGGAGGAGACCTGGACTAGAAGGGGTGAGCTCTAACACCAGTGCAAAGGTGCTTTTAGCTTCATCACTCTCTGGTGGTGACAAGCAGTCACTTATAGTATTACTTGAGAGGATGCTGCTTGGTTAGGAGCCATTTCTCTTTTCTGTTTTTTTTTTTTTTTTTTCCCAGTTGCCAGAGGGCATATATGCTCATGGGGAGGGAAGGGGTAGAGAGAAAGAGAGAGAAAACACATACCCCCACCTCCCATGGTGCATAGTCACACTGCGGTCTCTTTCCCCATTTCTCCATTCTGTCGTGATTTGGGGCACGTATGCACATGTGCCCAGGGTCAGGCCACTGGTTGGAATTCAAACTGCAGTTGGTCATGTGGGATCTGGCTCCCAGTGCATAGCACTTAACTACTGCACTCTGTGGCCAGTTCAGGGACCGTCTTCTGACACCTGCTATTGCTCCTTCTCTTCATGGCCCCCAAGGTCCTGGAGCAGACACTGAGCCCCCTGTGGGATGAGCTCCTGGTGTTTGATCAGCTCATTGTGGATGGCAGGAGGGAGCACCTGCAGCAGGAGCCTCCTCTAGTGGTTGTCAATGTCTTTGACCACAATAAGTTCGTGAGTGTGGCCTGGCCCCACCAGGCATTCTGGCCTGGAGTCGTCCTCACCAACTTGCCCCCCATTAGCTCCTAAACCTCTTTCTCTTTTCTTTTTACCGTCTCCCTGCTGCAGGGCCCCCCTGTGTTCCTGGGCAGGGCGCTGGCCGTCCCAAGGGTAAAACTGGGGGAGGACCCATACCAACGCCCTGAGCTTCAGTTCTTCTCCCTGAAGAAGGGACCCCGGGCAGCTGGAGAGCTCATTGCCACCTTCGAACTCATTGAACTGGACTACCGTAGCCGCCTGGAGGTCAGAATAGCCTGGCCTGGCTAACTCGGGCTGTGGGCCCATCTTGTTATTTCATCAGTTCATGTAGTCCCAGGGAATAGAAACATAAGTGAGCCCCAGGGTTACCCCGGGACAGAATCCCTTATCCAGATCCCTTATCCCCAGAGAATGCGGGCTGCTGGCTGTCCTGGGGTTACCTCAACGGACCTCCTGATCCCAGGGAACATTGGCTGTGTGCCTCAGACACCTCCCCTCCCTTGCTTGTATATGGCTGCTTGCCACTCCCAGTCCAACATGGTTCGGTTCTTCTACACTTACACAACAGCTGTCCACATCCCTTCCCCAAAGCCAGGCTTTCTCTCTTCTTTGACCTCTGTCTTTTTCCCCTGTGCAGCCCTCAGTGCCCAGTGACGTGGAGCCACAGGACCTGACACCTCTGGTTGAACCCCTCTCTGGGCGCCTGTCCCTGCCACCCAATGTACGCCCGGTGCTCAGGGAGTTCCGTGTTGAGGTAGTACCAGGCCCCCCAAACCTCCTGCTCCCCGACATGTGGTGCCTCTCTGTCAGTCGCAGACCCCAGATTCTCCTACTTCCTGACCTCAGGTGCTGTTCTGGGGTCTGAGGAGCCTTGGTCGTGTGCATCTGTTCGAGGTGGAGCAGCCCCAGGTTGTGTTGGAGGTGGCTGGGCGACGGGTGGAGTCTGAAGTCCTGGCCAGCTACCGGGAGAGCCCCAATTTCAGGGAGCTCGTCAGGCATCTGACAGTGGTGAGGATGTAAGCTGGGAGGCAAGGCATACTGGGCAGAGAAATAAAAGAGGCTGGTGGGTGGTACATTTCTAGCTGGTTCTCGTAGATCAATCCAAGGGTCAGCAAACTCTCTATAAGGGGTCAGGTGGTAAATATTGGAGTCATCAGAAAAGTCATGATATATTTTTTTGTTTTCTTATACAAAAATGCGTCATGACTTTTCTGATGACCCAATACTTTAGGCTTTGTGGGCCATACAGTCTCAGTCAACTTTGTCACTGTAGCATGAAGATGAAAACAGCCAGAGACAATATGTAAATGAATAAGATTGTGTTCCAATAAAACATTATTTACAAAATCAGGCAGCAGGCCAGACTTGGCCCATGGACTGTAGTTTGCTGATCCTGGGAATAATTCACAGATAGGTGGAGCTCTCTTGGCTCAGTGGAACGAGTAAAGTAGCCACGCATGCTGAAGGATGTCTCAAGGAATATAGCTGGTCTCTGAGACATCAGGGGATGAGAAGAAAAATATTTGGTCCTCAGAAAAGTCATGATACATTTTTGCATAGAAAAACATAAAAAAAAATACAACATGAGTTTTCCAATGACACAATACATTCTTTCTGTAATTTGTAATTACTGTAGTATAGACTTTGAAGTCAGAGTCTGGCAATGCCACTTAGATCTTGCCAAATCACTTGTCTTAGTGAGCTTCAGTTTTCTACAGTACAATGGGGATAAACCGTACAAACGAATAAAGGTTCAAAGGACATACATGGGGTTCCTCTTTGCTGAGGAACCAATGACAGAAAGAATTTTGGTGAAAGATTTTGTAAACTGAAAAGCGATTTGACCATGCAATGGTTGGCTGGACCAAAGCCAGCAGTTTGACCCAGTAGTTCTAGACTATAAGAAAGCAAAACACAAATACGTGAAAAACTCTGCCACTTTTTCATAACTGTTTCACATGCAGGAATTTTCAGTTTGAAAAGCTTTATTGTGCTAGGGTTAGCCAGGGTGTGGTGGTTTAGGCAGCTGGATCTTGGCCCCACGGGCTTGCGACATATACCAGACCAATGTGCATGTGTGCCTAAAAATCCTGGGAGGAGAGTGGAAGAGAAGGGACTGCAGTGTTGCCAACCCCCCCCCCCAGGCATGCTGTCTCACTTTACATCTCTCTCCTCTCTGGCAAGTGCACACACCTTGTAGCAAATAATAATAATAATAATAAAATAAATAAAGTAAAAAAATGTTATTGTGATATGATACAATTAAAAGCATATTGCTTATTTAGTTTCTAGGGTGTGTCTTAATTCATTCTGGGTTCCATTGAAAAGTACGCTGTTTTTATTTTTTGTTTTTGAGACATTTTTGCCTTAGGGCACCCCTAGGGCACATGCACTTGCCAGAAAAGGAGAGAGAGATAGTGAGAGAGAAAGTGAGACATCACCCCCTGGGGGGATAGCCACACTGCAATTCCTTCTCTTCCATTCTCCTTCCGGGATCTTGGTCATGTACGCATACTCACCCTGTGTGATTTTCCAGCCACTGGATATAGGACTGGCCATGGTTGGCCACGGTTGGCCATCCTGGAGTCTAGCCACATAACTGCTATGCCATCTGCTGACCCTTTTTTTTTTTTTTTAATTTACCAGAAAGAGAGAGAGAGAAAGTGAGAAAGCAACTACCATTTCTCCCTCCTTTCAGGACTTGGGCACACATATACAGTCCAGTTTGGGTCCTGGACTCAAACTACAGTTGGCTGTGTGGGATCCAGCCACTTTAACCATCATACCACTGGCTGGGGTAAAAATTTTTTTTTTTTAAAATTATTTATTGGGACCATTAGATGGCATAATGGTTACATCACTGGACTCCCACATGGTCAGCCGTGCTTCGAGTCCCAGACCTGGTGGCATGATACTCATGCCAGGCGCACATGCGTGTGTGTGTGTGTGTACCCAAAAATCCCAAGAGAAGAATGAAGGAGAAGGTATTGCAGTGTGACCATCCTCCCTGGGGAATGATTTCTCACTTTCTGTCTTTCTGTCTCTCTCTCTGAGGAGCACATACATCCTATGGCAAAAACATATCTCTAAAAATTTTTGAAATTTAGGGACCAGCAGGCGGCGTGGTGCTTAAAGACGCTGGATTCCCATATGGCCAACAGCAGTTCAAATCCTAGACCTGGCGGCTTGTTTCTCTCACTTGCTCTGTCTGATCAAACTGAAAAATAATAATTATAGTTATAAAGTTAAATAAAATAGAGACAGACAGAGAGAGAAAGAGAGAGAAAACAAGAAAGCAAGCCATGAGGTTAAGAACTCAAACTGTGTTTGGCCATGTGGGAGTCCAACGCCCTGTCATGCCATCTGTTGGAACCCCAACAATCTGCTTTTTGAACAAAGTGTTTAATACAGTCACATTTATTATTGTAATTGATATTACTGGTTGGATTTATTTATTCTTTTAGTTTTGCTATAGGGCGCATGTGCTTAGAGTGAGATGGAGTGAGAGAGAAAAGGTAAGAATTTACCCCTCAGTAGGGATGACCACACCGCGATCTCTTCTCCATTTTTCCCCTTGGGACTTTGGACATGCACCCATGTGCACCTCATGCAATTTTCAAGCTACAGGATCTAGAACTCAGCTGTGAAGTTGGCCATGTGGAATCCAGCTACCTTAACCATACCACCTAGTTGGCCTAAAAACATGTTTTTTGATTGAAGTGTTTAATACAGTCACATCTGTTGTTATTGTTGATACTATTGGTTGGATTTAAATCTGTCATTTTGCTATATGTTTTCTATATATGTTGTGTAGTTTTCGTTCCTTTTTTATTACCTTCTCTTTTATTAAACAGATATTTATTTATTTTTAAATTATTTATTTAATTTTTTAATTTATTCATTCATTTATTTTAATATGACCAGAGTGAGAGAAAGAAATACAGAGAAGGAGAGAGAAAGTGAGGAAGCAAGCCACCAGGTCTGGGACTAACTGTGGTTGGCCACGTGGGAGTGTGTAGCACCTTAACCACCACGCCACCTGCTGGTCCTCTAAACATATTTATTAGTGTTCTATTCCAATTCCTCTGTTGATTTGTACTCAGTAGTTGCTCTAGAGATTACAGTATGAATACTGATTTTTTTTTTTTGAGAGGTTTTAGCTACAGGGCGCGTGCACTCGCCAGACAAACAGAGACAGAGAAACAGAAAGCAGGAAATCACCCCCCGGGGGGATGGCCATGCCACAATCCCTTCTCCTCCATTCTCCTCTCAGGATCTTGGGCACGCACACACATGTGCCCGGCGTGAGTTTTAAGCTGCCGGGTCCAGAACTTGAACCGCGGTTGACTACATGGGAGTCCAGCAACATAGCCATTATGCTAACTGTTAGTCCCAATACTAATTTTTCACAGTCTATTTCAGGTTAATACTAATTTAATTCTAGTAAAACAGAGACTTCTTCAGTATAGCTCTTCTTTGTACTATAGTCACGTGTATAAAAAATAAATCCAGGGATGGATGGTGGCATAATGGTAAAATGTGTCACTCTGAAAGGCTGGCCTACATGAGAGAATTCTGGGTTCTTGTATGGAAGCCTCCTTGAGTATATTGGCATGTGTGTGCCCATGATCTGGAGGTGGCAGAGGCTGGGGCTGGATTGTGGCACCAAGATCCCATTTGGGGGTGCTGTCTCTCTGTCTCTTTCTTTCTCTTTCTCTGATGAATGGAAGAATTAATTAATTTTAAAAAATTAATTCAGTAATATATAATTATTGCCCTCCCCACTTAGACTCCATCAATAATGGATCGTTAGGACAGTCATGACACATTTTTGCATAGAACAATATGACGACTGAACAGATATGAAATTCCTGGGTAAAAGCCACACATATATTTATAGTTCTAACTAACCTATATTTGTAAATTCAACATGGGCCTTCTATATAAGACAATAACAACAACCTTACACTTTGTAGCCTCCAAAATACTTTTGTATCTATTATGTCATGTGATACTTATAACTTTCTTTTTTGATTTTGCTAGAAGATGCATGTGTTCACCGGAGAGAGGAGCGGGGAAGAGAGAAATGAGAAAGCACCCCCCATGGGGGATGGTCACACTGCAATCCCCTCTTCACTTCTCCCTGCTTTTGGGATGTTGGGCATATATACACGCACACATGCCCAGCGTGTTTCTCAAGCCACCAAGTCTGAGACTCAAACTGTATAGTCTGCCATATGGGACCCAGCTGTCTTTTTTTTTTTTTTTTTTTAAGGTTTTTGCCATAGGGCAAGTGAACTTGACAGAGAGAGACAGAGACAGTGCAAGAAAAATCACTCCCTGGGCGGATGGTCACACCATAGTCCCTTCTCCTCCAGTTTCCTCCTTAGATTTTGGGCACTCATGCACACATGCTTAGCATGATTTTCAAGCTGGCAGGTCTGGGACTTGAATTGTGATAGGCCATGTGGGAGCCTACCACCTTAACCACAATGCCACCTGCTGGCCCCATGGATCCAGCCATCTTTTTTTTTTTTAAAAAATAATTATTTAACTTTATTTATTTATTTTAATTTGACCAGAGAGTATCAGAGAGAGAGAGAGAGAGAGAAAGAGAGAAAGCAAGCCACCAAATCCAGGACTCAAACCATAGTCAGCCACGTGGGAATCCAGTGCCCTTAACCACCATGCCACCTGCCGGCTCCAGATTCAGCTGTCTTAACCTCCATGTCACTAGCTGGCCCAACAGTCTTTTCTTCAAAAATTGTTCTGTATCTTTATTTAAAGGAATTATTTATTTTAATTAATTAATTATTATTTTAAAAAATTTGACCAGAGAGAGAAAGTGAGAATGCGAGTGGCCAGCTCTGGGACTCACACCAGTCAGTCATGTGGGAGTCCAGTGTCTTCACCACCACACCACCTGCTGGCCCCTGCCTTTATTTTTAACATGAGTAAGAGAGACAACAAGCACAATAAGAATCTGACTCTGCCGCCCACTCCAGCCTTAACCAGCCCAGGATCGTGAGGACGTGCAGGCCTAGTGTGCTCAGGGAGGTCTCCAGTCGCACACCTGAAACCCGCCCCTTGGGTCACCCTTGCAGAGTATTGCATTGCTCTGCTGCGCCCCTGTCAGGCCCCTGACAACAGTCTTTCCAATCCAGGACTTTGTCCCTTTGTGGCTGGGGATCAGAGTCATAAGGCAATGACTTCTGTGGCAGAGCTGGGCAGAATGCAGGTTTAGATGCAGTGTTACCCCCTCCTGCCTCTGCAGCTGCCTTTCCCCTTGTCTTCAGAGACACAGCTCCTCTCTCCTCACCCCAGGACTTGCCGGAGCAGCCTTACCTGCAGCCCCCACTCAGCATCCTGGTGATAGAGCGCCGGGCCTTTGGCCGCACAGTCCTCGTGGGTTCCCATGTTGTGCCCCACATGCTGCGATTCACACTCCGGGGTCATGAGGATCCCCCTGAGGAGGAAGCGGAGGAGGAAGACACAGTGAACCTGGTACCCAAGGGACCTCAAGGTCAGACACCTCCCCCGGAGAGGCCACCAGACAGAAGCCCCTCTGCTTCCTGGCAGAGATGGCTCCAGGGGACCCTCCAGTGGGGCTTGAAGTCTGCGCCTCACCTAATCTCCTCATGGTGTCATATGCACCCTCCCAGGACAAAAGTCCCTGGATCCCTTCTTGGCTAATGCAGAGATTTCCAGGAGGCTCCTGAAGGTGATGGGGTACGGGAGATGGGTGGAGAAGGGACCAGAGGGCTTGTGGTAGCACTGGGTTGGAGGGACTGAGTCTTCTCTCTCTAGGCTCCTCTGAAGAAACTCGCCCTTGGAAGCCTCTTGAGCCAAGGCCCTGAGCTGGAGGAGGATATCCCCGATCCTGAAGAGCTCGATTGGTGGTCCAAATACTACGCATCGCTGCAGGAGCTGCAGAGACAGGTGGGTAGGGAGGGCTCAGTGCGGGGACTGGGAGGGTAAATGGCAGGAAGAATGGGCCCCTGGAAGGTGGAGCTCTACAGTGTTCAGAGCTCAACATCACAGTCATTTCTCATCCTCACAACAATTCCATAAGCTGGGGACTATTGTTAGTATTTTTTTAAGACTTATTTATTTATAAGACTTTATTTATTTATTTATTTTAATTTGACCAGATAGAGACAGAGTGAGAGAGAGAGAGAGAGAGAGAGAGAAATGGAAAGTGAGAAAGCAAGCCCCAGGTCCAGGATTCGAACCACAGTCAACCATGTGGGAGTCCAGCGCCCTTAACCACCATGACATCTACCTGCCCCAAATCTGGGGATTATTGACTCCATTATCTAGAGCTATGTTGTCCAACAGAAACACAAATGCAAGCCATATATGTGATCTTATTATTTTTCCTATAGGGTGCAGGTGCTAGCCAGAGAGAAAGAAAAAAATAAACCAAAAAAACACCCCAGGGGGGATGGCCACAGCACAATACCTTCTTCTCTAGTCTCTTCTTGGCATTTTGGGCATATATGCACAGGTGTGTGTTTTTCAAGCCACCGGTTCCAGGATTTACACTGTACAGTCAGTCCTGTGGAATACAAAGCCTTCCCTATGCTACCTGCTGGTCTGCCACATATGTAATTAAAAAAAATTATATATCTATATATGGAATCAGAGTCATAAGGCAATGACTTCTGTGGCAGAGCTGGGCAGAATGCAGGTTTAGATGCAGTGTTACCCCCTCCTGCCTCTGCAGCTGCCTTTCCCCTTGTCTTCAGAGACACAGCTCCTCTCTCCTCACCCCAGGACTTGCCGGAGCAGCCTTACCTGCAGCCCCCACTCAGCATCCTGGTGATAGAGCGCCGGGCCTTTGGCCGCACAGTCCTCGTGGGTTCCCATGTTGTGCCCCACATGCTGCGATTCACACTCCGGGGTCATGAGGATCCCCCTGAGGAGGAAGCGGAGGAGGAAGACACAGTGAACCTGGTACCCAAGGGACCTCAAGGTCAGACACCTCCCCCGGAGAGGCCACCAGACAGAAGCCCCTCTGCTTCCTGGCAGAGATGGCTCCAGGGGACCCTCCAGTGGGGCTTGAAGTCTGCGCCTCACCTAATCTCCTCATGGTGTCATATGCACCCTCCCAGGACAAAAGTCCCTGGATCCCTTCTTGGCTAATGCAGAGATTTCCAGGAGGCTCCTGAAGGTGATGGGGTACGGGAGATGGGTGGAGAAGGGACCAGAGGGCTTGTGGTAGCACTGGGTTGGAGGGACTGAGTCTTCTCTCTCTAGGCTCCTCTGAAGAAACTCGCCCTTGGAAGCCTCTTGAGCCAAGGCCCTGAGCTGGAGGAGGATATCCCCGATCCTGAAGAGCTCGATTGGTGGTCCAAATACTACGCATCGCTGCAGGAGCTGCAGAGACAGGTGGGTAGGGAGGGCTCAGTGCGGGGACTGGGAGGGTAAATGGCAGGAAGAATGGGCCCCTGGAAGGTGGAGCTCTACAGTGTTCAGAGCTCAACATCACAGTCATTTCTCATCCTCACAACAATTCCATAAGCTGGGGACTATTGTTAGTATTTTTTTAAGACTTATTTATTTATAAGACTTTATTTATTTATTTATTTTAATTTGACCAGATAGAGACAGAGTGAGAGAGAGAGAGAGAGAGAGAGAGAAATGGAAAGTGAGAAAGCAAGCCCCAGGTCCAGGATTCGAACCACAGTCAACCATGTGGGAGTCCAGCGCCCTTAACCACCATGACATCTACCTGCCCCAAATCTGGGGATTATTGACTCCATTATCTAGAGCTATGTTGTCCAACAGAAACACAAATGCAAGCCATATATGTGATCTTATTATTTTTCCTATAGGGTGCAGGTGCTAGCCAGAGAGAAAGAAAAAAATAAACCAAAAAAACACCCCAGGGGGGATGGCCACAGCACAATACCTTCTTCTCTAGTCTCTTCTTGGCATTTTGGGCATATATGCACAGGTGTGTGTTTTTCAAGCCACCGGTTCCAGGATTTACACTGTACAGTCAGTCCTGTGGAATACAAAGCCTTCCCTATGCTACCTGCTGGTCTGCCACATATGTAATTAAAAAAAATTATATATCTATATATCTATGTATCTATATCTATCTATCTATCTATCTATCTATCTATCTATCTATCTATCTATTTAGGGGCTAGCAGATAGAGTACCGGTTATGTTGCTGGACTTGCATATGGCCAATCACAGTTCAGACCTGTAGGCTTGAAACCCATACCAGGTGCATGTGTGCATGCCCAAAATCTGGAGAGGACAATGGAGGAGAAGGGATTGTGGAGTGGCCATCCCCCTAGGGGGGTGATTTCCCACTTTTTCTCTCTCTGTCTCTTGCTGTCTCTCCAGTGAGTGCACATGCCCTATGGCAAATCATCTCTCTCCCTCAAAAAGAAAAGAAAAAAGAATTATTTGTTTTATTCTAGTTACTAGTAGCACTATCATTATTATTTTTAATTTTGCTATAGGGCACATGTACTCACCAGAGAGACAGAGAGAAAGAGAGAGAAGGAAAGTAAGAAAGTAAGTTGTCAGGCCCAGGACTCAAACTGTGGTCTGCCATGTGGGAGTCCAGTACATCAACCACCACACTACCTGCTTGCCCCACATATATAATTTTAATTTGTAGTAGCCACATTAAAGTAAGGAAACATGGGACCAGCCAATAGTGTAATGGTTACATCACTGGACTCCCATGTAGTTGACCACGGTTTGAGTCCACGACTCAGTGGCTTAAAACTCACACCGGGCACATGAGCATGCATGCCCAAGATCCCAAGAGGAGAATGGAGGAGAAAGGGATTGTAGGGTGACCATCTCCCCAGAAGGTAATTTCTCGCTTTCTGTCTTTCTGTCTCGCTGGCAAATGCACGTGCCCCTATAGCAAAAATCTCTCTAAAAAGGAAAAAAAAAGGAAACGAACAAACCAAAAAGAAAACAAAAAATATTTTAAAAGGATACAGGTGAAATTAAAATTTATAATCTCATATTTCTAAAATATTATCATTTCAACAAGTAATCATTATAAAAATTAATAATAAGATATTTTGGGCCAGAAGGTGATATGGAGATTATCCATGTGCTAGATCCCCCATGGCTAAATTTGTGGTTTGAGTTCTAGACCCAAGTCCTCGAGAATCATGCCAGGTGCATTTGCCTGTGTGGCCAAAATCCTGAGGAGAGTGGAGAAGGGATTGCGGCACAGCCATCCCCCATAGGAGGGATGATTTCTAACTTTTCCTCTCTCTCTCTCTCTGGAGAGCACGTGCACCCAATAGCAAAAGCTGTAAAAAAAGAAAAAAGATATTTTACATCCTTATTTTATACTCTTTAAAGTCTGGTGTGTGTTTTACACTTAATTTGTACTTGCCACAGTCCAAATGTTCATGGCGACAAGGGGCTGATGGTTACTAGTCCTGAACTAAGTGATAAACTTTGAAAATACAAGTGGTGGGCCAGTTTTGTGGCGTGGTGGTTAAGGCAGCTGAATCTCATATGGCTGACACCACGGTTTGAGCCCAGGACCTGGTGACTTGAGAAACATGCCAGGTGTGTGCAAGTGCCCAAAATTCTGACAGGATGGAAGAAAAGGGATTATGGCATGACCCTTCCCCAAGGGAGGTACGTTCTCCTCTCCTCTTTCTGTCTCTCCTCTGGCAAGCACATGTGTCCTCTAGTAAAAACAGCAACAAACAAGCGAAAAAGAAAATACAAATGGCTGGGCTGGTGCCATGGCCTGGTAGTTAAGAGAGCTAGATCAGGGACCAGCAGTTAGCGTAATGGCTATGTCGCTGGACTCCCACGTAGTCGACCGCGGTTCAAGTCCTGGACCCAGTGGCTTAAAACTCACGCCAGGTGCGTGTGCGTGCGTGCCCAAGATCCCAAGAGGAGAATGGAGGAGAAGGGATTGCGGCGTGACCATACCCCCTGGGGGGTGATTTTTCGCTTTCTGTCTCTATGTCTCTCTCTGTCTGTCTGGCAAGTGCACACGCCCTATAGCAAAAACCTCCAAAAAGAAAAAAGAAAAACACACTAGGTTTGTGTGCATGCTGCAAATCCTGACAGTATGAAGAAATGGAGGAGAAGGGTTTGTGGCATGACCATGCCCCATTGCCCCATTGAGGGGTACTTTCTCCCTCTTTCTTTCTCTCTTTTTCTCTATTTCTCTCTGGTGAGCACATGTACCCTCTGGTCAAAAATTAAAGGAAAATAAAATACAAGTGTCTTACATAGCTGGGACTTGAACTAGGTTTTCCCAACTCCCTATCCTGGAAAGGAGGTACACTAAGCAGGTAAAGGAGACAGGGTAGACTCATCTGTTCTTCAATTTCAGCCCAACTTTGATGAGGATGAAATGGATGATCCTGGGGATTCAGGTAAGAGATTCAGCTTCTTTCTTTTGCTCCATCTCTCCACCCCTTTACCCACCCAGATATTTCTGACTGGGGCATTTTTGCTATTTCCAGATGGGGCCAACCTCATTTCTGTGGATAGGGAGGTCCCAAACCAGGGTGATGCTGAAGTCGAAGGCTCTGCACCCCGGAAAAAAACAATTGCCACCCTGAAGGTGACTGGGTGTTTGGAACAGGGGAGTTCACTAGATTCTGGATGTCAGGCTGTTGCTGAGGCCCTCACCTTTCAGATCTACAGCAGCTCCTTGGAGGAGGAGTTCAACCACTTTGAAGACTGGCTGAATGTATTTCCACTCTACCGAGGGCAAGGGGGCCAGGAGGGGGATGGAGAGAAAGAAGGGTCTGGACACCTGGTGGGCAAGTTCAAGGTATGTGTGGGAAGGAACCGGGGATCTGGGAGCATAGGCAGGCTCTCTTCTTAGGGCCTTTTCTGTCTCTCCCCACCCCAGGGCTCCTTTCTCATTTACCCTGAATCCGAGGCAGTGTCCTTCTCTGAGCCCCAGATCTCACGGGGAATCCCCCAGAACCGGCCCATCAAGCTCCTGGTCAGGGTATACGTGGTAAAGGTGAGTATCTGGAGCTCTGGCACACCCCCAACTCCAGCGAAGGAGAGTCTACAGAACCTACAGAAGGGAGACTGTGGGAAACTGCAGGCAGCCCAGAGTCCAATATCTTTGTTACTCAGATGGGAAATCTGAGGCACATAGTTAAGAGACTCCCCAGAGTTACAGAGCTTGCCTGTAGCTGAACCCGAATTTAGAGCACAAGTCTCCTGACCCCTTGCTCATAGAGTTAGTTCTATGGAACAGGGAGAATAGTTCCAGGATACGTGTAGCTCTGAATCTTTATCTTCAGCATGAGCTCATAGGGGCTGGACAGCAGTGAGGAGGTAAACTGTGGTGCGCCATGAGGCCAACCGCATGGCAAAATTACCAGTTTGCAAGCAGTGACCTCCTGAGTTTGCCTGGCGTGTGTATGCCAGTGATCTGGGCTGGCTGAGGCTGGGGGTGGGAAAGTGGCATGAGGACCCTGTTGGAGGTCCTGTATCTTGCTCTGTCTCTGTCCTTCTCACTCATGGAATAAATAAATAAACTTAGAAAAAAAAAAGAGTGAGTACATCATCAAACATATTTGTACGAAGTCTTCCATTGTTGCGTTTTCATACAGAGCTCAGCAGGGCCCTGAAATTTTCTTAAAGATATTTTGGAGAGAAAGGGGGAAGGCCTGCACTGCTCTGCCTCCTCAATCTCTATCACTAGAGCAGATGCTGTACTTTAAAAAATCTGTTTTAAATATAGAGATTCTGACTAAGATGTTCTGTGGCATTTTTCCCCCATAATCTAAGAATCCCAGTGCATAAATTAAGTAATAGAAGTCATCCTGACGTTCTGCTTCTGGTTGATGAGACGGTCTGAAATGCTTCCTGGTGTAATATAGTTAGAAATGTTAGATAAATAGTCTTTTAAATGAATGCCAACCTCGTAAGAAAGAGAAATCTTGGCAGGCCTCATATGAAGAGGTATCAGGAATCTCAAGTGAAAGATAAGCCCTGAGCCGAGGCTATCTTGAGAGGGTTGAGGCACAATGGACTCCGAGTCCTGGATTTTTTTTTTTTTTGAGATGTTTGCTATAGGGTACATGTGCTTGCCAGAGAGACAGAGAGATAAAGCAAGCAAGAAATGACCCCTCCCCCCAGAGGGGGGATGGCCATGCCACAATCTCTTCTCCTCCAGTCACCTCTTGGGATTTTGGGTACACACACACACACGCACCCAGCATGAGTTTTAAGCCACTGGGTCTGGGACTCGAACTGTGGTCAACCATGTGGGAGTCCAGTGATGTAACCATTATGTCATTTGCTAGTCCTGAGCCTTGGGTTTTTAAAGATTATGCAAGGTGGGGAACCAGAGTGGAGACTCTGTCATAAAGCAGGTAAAAAGGGAGCGAGGAAGTCTGCCCAGTGGGAAAGGTACTAGTAAGTTAACTTGTCTATTTCAGGCTCTGTTGCAGTTGGGAGAATAGGAAAAAGTCTTCATTGAGGGTATATATATTTTTAATTGTCAGAGTTTGCATGAACTTGCAGAGAGAGAGAGATAAAGCACCCCCTGATGGGTCACGATCATGCCACTATCTTTTTTTCTCTATTTCTTCGTCCCATCAGGATTTTGGGTATACATATACATGTGCTGGGTGTTTTTGAAGCCATTGTTGCCAGATCTTGAACCATGTTCGTCATGTGGGACCCAGCTTTCTATGCACAGCGCTTAACCACTGTACTATGAGGCTGGCCTTTTTTTCTTTTTTTTTTAATTGCTAGAGGCCACCAGAGAGAGATAGAGAGAAATGGAGAAAGCCCCTCCAATGGGACATGATTCCAGCACAAGCTCTTGTCCACCATTTCTCCATCCTTTTGGGATTTGGGGCATGCACGCACATGCACCCAGCATATTTTTCAAGTCAGTATTTTTCTTTTTGGTAGAGGTTTTTGCCTTAGAGCACATGTGCTTGTTGGATAGAGAGAGGCAGAGACAGAGATGGTGAGAGGGAAAGTGAGAAATCACCTCTTGGGGAATGGCCACACCACAATCCCTTCTCCTCCATGCTCCTCCGGGGATCTTGGGCACACATATCTGGCATGTGTTTCAAGCCACCAGGCCCAGGACTCCAACTACTGGCCATGTGGGAACCCAGATCCCAAGATCCCAGGAGGAGCATGAAGGAGAAGGGATTGTGGAGTGGCCATCTCCCTGGGCAGTGATTTCTCACTTTCCCTCTCACTGTCTTTGTCTCTCTGGAGAGTGCATGTGCCCTAAGGCAAAAACCTCTAAAAAAATTTAAAAAAAAGAAAGTTATGATACATTTTTGCATAGAAAAGCAGAAAAATACGTCATGATTTTTCTGATGAGCCCATAAGATTTTCAAATATTAGAATGTAAAACAACTGTTTAAAATATTTCACAATCAAAGACCAAGAGGCTATCAAAAGTGACTGAGAGGGGCCAGCAGGTGGTATGGTGGTTAAGGTGCTGCAGTCCCACGTAGGTAATCGTGGTTCAAGGCCTGGACGGGTGGCTTGCTTTCTTACTTTCCCTTTCTTTCTCTTTGTCTCTCTCTGGACAAATTAAAAATAAAATAAAATAATAACAAGTAAAAATATATAAATAAATAATTATTTTTTAAAAAAGTGACTGGGAGGGCTAGCAGGTGATGTAGGCATGTTTGCATATGTGCAACATGCCAAAATCCTGAAAGGAGAATGGAGATGAAGGAATTGTGGCATAGCTATCCCACCTGGGAGGCAATTTCTCACTTTATTTCTCTCTGTTTCTCTGGCAAGCACACATACCCTATAGCAAAAATCTCTTGAAAAGTGACTCAGGGGCCAGCCCCATAGCTCAGTGGTTAAGAGAGATGAATCTCACATGGCCAACCACAGTTTGAATTTCAGCTGGATATGAGTGCATGCCCTAAATCCCAATAGGCTGAAGAAATGGAGGATGAGAGATTGTGGCATAACCATAACCTATTGAGGAGTGTATGTGAGCTCACTCACTCTCTCTCTGCTGAGTGCGTGTGCCCTCTGGCCAAAAAAAAAAAAAAAAAAGGTGAGCAGTTTTGGAAATAGTGAAATAAAATTTCTAAAAATGGGGGCCGGCAGGTGGCATGGTGGTTAAAGGCACTGGATTCCCACATGGCTGACCATGGTTCAAGTCCTGGACCTGGCAGCTTGCTTTCTCACTTTCTCTCTCTCTCTCTTTCTCACTCTGTCCCTTTCTGGTCGAATTTAAATAAACAAATGAATAAATAATAAAGTTAAATAAAATAATTTTTAAAAAATTTCTAAAAATTAAAGCCTACTTAAATATTATTACCCACCCATATGTAGAAGAATGGGTGAATAAACTATGATAATATCCACACAATAGAGCACTGTGCAGCTGTAAACAAGAATGAGGAAGGGCCAGCCCTATGGTGCAATGGTTAAACACTGTGCAGAGAAAGCCAGATCCCATGTGGTCAGCCAATGTTCGAGTCCTGACTCTAGGCATGTACACACATAGCCAGAATCCTGATGAGACAAAGAATTAGAGGGAAAAAGATTGCAGTGTGACCATGCCCCGTTGGGGGATGCTTTCTTTCTCTCTTCTCTGTCTCATGCACAATCATGAGTCCTTTGGCACACTAAAAAAAGAAAATCAAAAATTAAAGAACATCTCAGAACTCATATGGAGCAGTTTCCAGAACATAAAGTGAAAATAGTAAAGTGCAAAAAAAAGTACCTATAATATGCCACTTTCCACTTAGGAAAAATAAAAGCTCTAAGAAAATATATGTGCAGGCCAAATAGTAGCATGGTGGTTAACATGGTTGGGTCCCACATGGCCAGCTACATGTTTCGAATTTCAGACTGCAGCTTGAAAAACACTGGGCATGCGCGTACATGTCCAAAGTCCCTAGACAAGAATGGAGAACGAATTGTGACATAGGCATCCCCCAGGGGCTACTTTCTTACTTTCTATCTCTCCCTCTCTTCCTTTCTCCCTTTTCCTCCCTCTCCCCCTCCCTCCCTTCTTTCCTTCCCTCTGGCTCTCTCTGGTGAACACATGAACCCCACAGCAAATTAAAAAACCAAACAAACAAACACACACATGTGCAACACAAATACAGGGAAGATTAACTAGAAACTAAGACTGATAACCTAAAGAAGGTGTTAAAAGAGAACATTATCACAACCTAACTTTACAGATTTTAGTTGGCTTTTATTTGCGATTCTAGAATTGAGCAGCAGTCGGACCAAAAATGGTTTGGAAGGCTCTGCCCCATAACATATGCAGATTATATTTATAGTCAGGAGAAAGTGGTGTAGAGAAAGCAGACATGAGGTACAGAGATAGTTCGACTGGCCAGAGCCTGGTGTTTGCATAACTTGAACCTGGTTTGAACAGGCTTTGTTCCATTTTTCTTTATTCTCTTTTGTCTCTGTTCTTTGGCTTGCATAATCTCTATTGTCCTGTCTTCAGGCTTGCTAATTCTTTGTCTAGTACAGATCTACTGTTGAGCCTGTTTAGTGAAGTTTGTTTATTTTAGTTTGCTATAGGGCGTGTGTGCTTGCCAAAGAGAGAGAAAAAGAGAGAAAAAAAGTGAAAAATCATCCCCAAGGGTGGACCACCACACCATAATCCCTTCTCCATTTATCCTCTCAGGATTTTGGGCATGCACACATACACACCTAGCATGTTTTGTTTTGTTTTTAAGAGGTTTTTGCTATAGGGCGCGTGCGCTCTCCAGACAGAGAGAGACAGAGAGACAGAAATCGAGAAATCACCCCCCAGGGGGGGATGGGATGGCCACGCCGCAATCCCTTCTCCTCCATTCTCCTCTTGGGATCTTAGGCACGCACGCACATGCACCCGGCGTGAATTTTAAGTCACCGGGTCCGGGACACGAACCACAGTCGACTACATGGGAGTCCAGTGACATAGCCATTACGCTAACTGCTGGTCCCAACACCTGGAATGTTTTTCAAGCTGCTGGGTCCAGAACTTGAACCACATAGATCAGTCATGTGAAAATTCTGTGCTTTAACTGCCTGCTGGCCCTGTGTTATCATACATATTTTTATTTTTTATTTCATTTTATTTATTCATTCATTTATTTCCATTTGACCAGAGAGAGAGAGAGAGAAAGGGAAAGTGAAAAAGCAAGCCACCAGGTCTGGGACTTGAACCATGGTCAGCCATGTGGGAGTGTCCAGCACCTTGGCCACTATACCACCTGCCGGTCCCAATCATACATCTTTTAACTTTGACCAGAGAGAGACAGAAAGGGGGAAAATGAAAAAGCAAACAGCCAGGTACAGGACTAGAACTGCAGTTGGCCATGTGGGAATCTAGTGCCTTAACTGCTATGCCACCTGCTGGTCCCTGAATTTTTTTTTTTTTTTTTTTTTTTAATTTGGGTTCTTTAATGAGTCAGTTTCCTACCCTTAGTGTTATGTCTCTGATGTCACTGCTCTGGGACTGTGGCAGTTTTGAATGTGCCACAGTCACCCTGGGATGACAGATCTGTTTTATGGTCTGAGCCCCCTTGTTCTGGAACTTGGGGCGGGGACTATGACAAACTTCTCTGAGTGATGCTCCTACTCTAGGACCTGAGAGTTAGTGCAGGGGAGACAGTTCCCTGAGGTCCTCTTAGCTGGTCAGTTCTGGCATGGAACCACCTTCTCACAAGCCAAGGCGGGGATGGTCAGGGCCCCAGTTGTCATGCAGGCTGTGCTCGTGGTAGAGCCTCCATTCCCTAAGCAGAGCTGGGCAGCAGAAGGGAACCCCTCCTTACCTCTCAACTGCACCTTACAAGGGACTTAGTCTTCTTAGTCTTAGGCAGCTGGGGGCAGGATGGGGACCTGAGGTCTTGCTCTTGGACTGGGAGCTGCAAGAAGGGGGAGGGCAGGTAACAGTCACCTGAGGCAGTCTCTACCACTCTGAGTTAGGAATAGGGTGGGAGGGAAGGCTCTTGGTTAAAATATCAGATTTGCTTTGCTTTGCTTTGCCTCTTTCTTTCTTCCTTCCTTCCTTCCTTCCTTCCTTCCTTCCTTCCTTCCTTCCTTCCTTTCTTTCTTTCTGGAGAGGTTTTTGCTATAGGGCATGTGCACTCACCAGAAAGACAGAGAGAGCCAGAGAGACAGAAAGCGAGTAATCACCCCCCAGGGGGGATGGCCACGCCACAATCCCTTCTCCATTCTCCTCTCAGGATCTTGGGCATGCACACACATGCGCCCAGCATGAGTTTAAGCCACTGGGACCAGGACTCAGACTGTAGTCGACTACATGGGAGTCCAGCAACATACGCCAACTGCTGGTCCCGAGATTTGCCTTTCTTACCACATTTTCATAGGATAAAAGGAAAAAGCATAACTATAAATAAATAAATAAATAAATAAATAAATAAAAATAAATAAAAGGGGGGCATAACTGCAAATGCAGTAGTTATTAAAAATAGGATATAATATATAATTTATACCAACATATTTGAAATTATAGATGAAGTGGACAAATGCCCAGAAAATAAAATTCACCAAACTGACTTAAGAAGAAATAGAAAACTTGAATAGTGCTATAACTATGAAAGAAATTGTGTCAGAAGCACAAGATCCAAATGATCTTACTAGCAATATATTTACTTAGTGGATTTGTTTGTTTGTTTTTTTATCATAGAGCATGTGTGCTTGCCAGAGAGAGAAAGTGAGAAATCACTCCTGGGGGGATGACCATATCACAATCCCTTCTCCTCCATTTTCCTCTGGGGATTTTGGGCACACTTGCCCACATGCTCAGCATGATTTTCTTTCCTTTTTTTGTTTTCCAAGCCAGACTGTTTCCAGCTTTATTAAAGACAGTTTTCATAAACAAGCATGGCAGGACATGGGCAGACAATCATTAACTGTATACAACAACTTTCAAACTCCCTTCTTCAATGGACTACCAAAATCAGAAAACCACTATAAAACCCAATGAAGTCTTCATATGATGCTCTGAACAGGGCAAGTTTAGAGTGAGGGTTGACATTTCACATTTAGCATTTTTTTAAAGAGGTTTTTGTGATAGGGCACATGTGCTTGCCAGAAAAACAGAGAGAGGGATAGAGAGATAAAAAGCGAGAACTCCCCCCCCAGGAGAAACGGCCACTCCACAATCCCTTCTCCTCCATTCTCCTCTTGGGATCTTGGGCATGCATGCACATATGCCCTGTGTTAGAATCACAGTTGCCCACATGGGAGTCCAGCGATGTAGCCATTATGCCAACTGCTGGTCCCTTAGCATGTTGTTTAACAACTTTTCATGAGCCAACCCTTGACTTTTGGGAAATGAAAATGACAAAATTATCAACCTGAAGATCCAGCAATATAGAAAAGGAACTGCTGCCCTTTTGAAGGATGCTATCTTTTTTTTTGAGAGGTTTTTGCTATAGGGCGCATGTGCTTGCCAGACAGACAGAGAGAGACAGAGAGATAGAAAGCAAGAAATCACCCCCCAGAGGGGATGGGCATGCCGCAATCCCTTCTCCTCTTGGGATCTTGGGCACGCACACGCCCGGCATGAGTTTAAGCCACCAGGTCCGGGACTCGAACCGCAGTTGACTACGTGGGAGTCCAGCGACATAGCCACTACTCTAACTGCTAGTCCCAAGGATGCTATCTTAATGTCATTGGAAAGTCTGGATTGCCTGATACACCGGTATAACCAATTTTCTGTGGTCAGGTCCCAACAAGTCTCTGGTTTAAGGGAGTTAAGTCTATGCTGAAGGCAGAGAGGGAGAGGACATAAAGGCAAATGTTAAGTGTTCCACATCACAAGGCATCTGTGCCAAGGGGGCTGTGTGTGTCAGGGAATCCCTCCTCTTGGGAACCAAGAGGAAGTCTCTCAACACTAGAAGGGAAAGATGTTGTCCAAATCAAGACAGCTTTAGAGACATTCTATTAGTGACAAATGTCCCTTCCCCAAAAAACAACAATGAAGTGTTCTGTGTGCTAACAACATACATAGCTTTAAAAAAAAAGGTAAAATAAAATTCTGCATTTTTATAAAACTTGATAAAAAATAGTATTTCAAACTGTGCAGTCACCAGAAGGACACAGTTATCAAAAACACACACAGAGCATCGCCAGCACCTTCAGCTTTCTGTGCCTTGTCTGTGTTGGCATCTCCATTTTCTGCAGGGTTGTTCTCCTCCTTGCCAGCATCAGCGTTTCTCTTTTTTCCTTTGGGTACTTTCTCTCCCTTCTTTGCGGGGCCTTTTTAGGCTTGGGCTCTGGCTTTGGAGGAGCAGGTTTCACAGACAGCCTTGCAGATCTCTGTGGTTCGTCCTTCACCCTGGTTTTATCTCCTTAGCATTCCCTTCAGCCTTTCTCTTGGGCGACAATGGCAGGACGTAGGCACTGGACATGGGGGATGCAGCGGCACGCAGGCTTTGGTCGGTCCAGGGGTCGCTCTCATCTCTTCTTCCCCAGCATGATTTTCAAGCTGCCATGTCTGGGACTCGAACCACAGTCAGTCATGTGGGAATGCAGCACCTTAACCTCCACATCACCTACTGGCCCCTTACTAGCAAATTTTAAACAACGATTGTACATATTTATAGGTTATAGTGTGTCATTTTTATAATGTATATATATTACATGTATGTGTACATACATCTATTTGTATGTCTTAGGTATTTCAGGACTAACTGAAAAGAAAGACATCTTGTTCAGCCTCTTAGTTAATCCCTCACAGTGAGAGTGCTCTCCTTGGTAACTTCCTGCTTACACTTCCCCTGATTAGGTACAAGATGGGTTACCTTGGGCTATGCCAATGACGATCCTCCTACTGCCACTCCATACCCCCCTCCTAGGCTACCAACTTGGCTCCAGCAGACCCCAATGGCAAAGCAGACCCCTATGTGGTGGTGAGCGCTGGTCGGGAGCGGCAGGACACCAAGGACCGCTACATCCCCAAGCAGCTTAACCCCATCTTTGGAGAGTAAGGCTGGGCCCTGGGGGTTGGCAAGGGGGGAACAACTTGACTATTTGGCCTGTGGTGCAAGGGCTCTCCCTCAGGTAGCTTTCCCTCAGGCCTGGTGACAGCACCTCTCGAGGCACCCAGTGTCCTCAGCTGCTGTTCTTCTTGGCCAGGGTCCTGGAGCTGAGCATCTCTCTCCCAGCTGAGCCTGAGCTGACTGTGGCTGTATTTGATCATGACCTTGTGGGTTCTGATGACCTCATTGGGGAGACGCACATTGATGTGGAAAACCGATTCTACAGCCATCACAGAGCGAACTGTGGACTGGCCTCCCAGTATGACACGTGAGTCTGGGAGGGTTCTCAGGAGGCTTACTCTGATCAACTTAGAAACACATTCAACCTCACATTCCTG